TCTGCCGGGCGCGGTGGCTCAAGCCTGTAATCCCAGCACTTTGGGAGGCCGAGACGAGAGGATTGCCCTGAGCTCAGGGGGTCGAGACCAGCTTGGGCAATTTGGTGAGACCTCGTCTCTACAATAAATTTAAAAAAAATAATAGTAAGCCGGATATGGGAGCACGTGCCTATAGTTCCAGCTACTTGGAAGGCTAAGGCAGTGGGATCACCTGAGCCCAGGAGGTCGAGGCAGCGGGGAGCCATGATCATGCCACTGCACTCCAGCCTGGGCAACAGAATGAGACTCCAACTCAAAAAAAAAGAAAAAAGAAATCTTGAACTCATCAATAATCATTTTCTAACTTCCATAATTACCTGAATTATATTTCTGCATAATTTAAAACAACTGACAGTTGTCTTCAATGTCCACAACTGAAAAATAAGATTTTAATCTGTATCAGAAGAACTTTTTTTAAGGAAAATATTGTTAACAGCTCTGTAAACAACACTGTATTGTCTTGAAAACTATACTACTTCAAAGCTGTTTTCCATCCTTAGAGGAGAAACTTGTTTCCCTGATCACTTCTTCCCTGGGTTGAGAAAAGCTTCTGCGCTTCTCTTTACACCAGCATTTGTTTGGTTTCTCATTTGAACTCTCCCAGTATCTCTGGGTGGTAGGCTTCCTCACACCTCATCCTCTTACTCATGGGAAACTGAGATCCAGGGAAAGATCACATGTCCACCGTCACTCAGCTTGTTGGGGGGCAGAGGAAGTGTAAGCTACATTGCACATCCCTCAGAGGAAGTATAAGTTACATTGAGCTTCTGTTTCGAGCTCTCAGATGCTGCTAAGAGACAGGTCTGTGGAGAAGACTGACCCAGGCCTTAGGATGCCACCTGCACTGGGTCCAGGGGTACAGAGCTGAGTCACTCAAGGCCAGGCCCCCAGTGCTCAGGTCCTGACAGGAGAGACCATGCAAATAGATATCACAATGCAGGATGATCATAGTGCTAGAGGTGGGGCTTGGGCCATGGAAACTCAGAGAAGGGGTGTCTATGTCAGGTGGGAAATTGAAGGAAACATCAAAGAGAAACTTACGCTTGAGTTTATTTTAAAGGGAGGGAGGAAGATGTTAAATAATTGGAGGAAAGAGAGGCCTTCAGGGAATGAGGACAGATGGGCTGTGGGGGGCAACCTTGTGAGGTGAAATCTTCAGGGTTGTCCAGGGGATACCTGGAGGCAGTTGGGTGTGCAAGACTGGAATTCAGGGAACGTACTTAGAAAAGAGTATCAAGTTGTTGGTTGAGTCATGGGCAACAGTGAGATGTCTCTGGAGAAAACAGAGAGGTCCCTAGATCCTGAGAGAAAGCTGATGGGGCCAGCCCAAGTCTAGGGACCTGGGAGGGAAACGCTGATCTCCTTTTTGGCCAAGATGAGTATGAGAGAGATGTGGGACATCCCTGGACTCCTGGGTCCTGCCGGAGAAGGGGGCTTGGTAGAATCCCTGTGGTTTCTAGCTTCTGCTCCTGAGGGGATGATAGAATCATCTTCACATGAGCAACACAAAAGGAGATAGGTTTTAGGAGAGGGTGGTGAATTCTTCCCCAACTTGCAGCCCAGGATACCTGTTGCACATGGGATCTGGGACTTGGAGAGAGTGGGCATTGTTAGGGTAGGCATGCGGCTGAAGCCCAGGGAGATGGTCTTGAGTGAGAAGAGTCAGAGGAGACCCAACCTTTCTGTTTCCTCAGAGAAACTTCCAGGAAGAGCCAGCACACCCTGGAGAAGGAAGGAAGGAGACATCGATGTGGTAAGGAGCTGAGCCATCCCTCTGCCTCAAGGTGACACTTGATCACTGATGTTTAGAGTACAAGGACTAGAAGGACTCTGAGGGAGTCACATGTCACTCATTCACTCATTCATTCCTGCCTTCACTGAATAGACCCTGAGCCTGTGGGCTGGAAGATGAGTGAGGCCTGACCCTTAGCAAATCTGGGGAAAGAGGAAGACAGACCCTGACCAAGACAGTTCTGGAGACCGTCCTGGGATATCTGGCACCTGACTGCCAGTCGTGCCTGAATGGAGCCCTGGGAGAATGGCGTTAGTGTCAGAGATTCTTAGACAAGAAGACACAGCTGTCAGGCAGAAAGATAGCTCAGTCACTCATTCGCTCACTGAACACACCTCTCCTAGGGCCTCTAGGGAACCCCCTTGGAGAGTTCTCAGTCAATTGGAAGATCACTGAGGGGATCTGGAATCAGCCTGGGTTTACATCCCACCCAGATGGAGTGCTTCGCAGTAGGGCTGGTGTGAGCATTTAGCTGTATATCATGTAGCCCCAGTCTTTTGCTGTTGTGCAATTCTTAGGTGACTGTGCCCAAGCATCTGAGGATACAGAAAGCACTAGATATCTGGGTTCACCCTCCTCCAGGGCCCTGGCCTTGGAGCTTCTGGTTTCCTGTAGTGCTTCCCTCTCCCCTCCCCTCTCTCAGGCTCCCAGCGGCAACTAATGAGGCTGCCTGCTTTGGCCTCTAATTGGACTTGTCTGGGAAGAGCTGAGATTGGGCGGGATAGGGGCTCCAGAGCTGTGACCTCCTCCTTCGTCACCAGAGAAGGGAGGGGAGAAGGGGCTGAGCAGTAGTGGAAGGGAGGGAGGCCAGTGCCATCTGAGTTTCTGGAGGACCGGGCAGTGTGACCACAGGTTGGGAAGCTAGAGGTGAGGAAGGTGGTGAATACCACAGCCCCTAAAGGTGCCCAGAGGTGAGGGCTTGGACTTTGAGAGGGGCTTGGTCCCAAGCAGAAATTTCAGGGATCAGATAGCATGTGTCTGACTGGGGCAATGGTTGGGGGCGCAGGAGCCTGAATCTCTTACTAGATGGGGGCTGGCCTCACAGCTATATCCCTGAGGGTTTCCCCAGCGTGGTGGGTCTGAAGCTGCTGGTGGTGTCAGCTACAGCACTGGATCCCTGATCCCCAGTGAAGGCAGTGGCTGGTGGTCTGGACGTCTGGGTCTCTGAGGGCCATTCAGGCTAGCAGCTTGAGGCCCGAGTCCCCAAAGCGGCACTTCAGGGGCTCAGACTGCTGTAACCCTAGGAGGGGCAGAGGCTGGGGGCTTGCACACCTAAAAGAAAGGATTTGGGACAGGACAGAGCTCAAACAATTGGATTCTATGGGCCGGGAGGACTGAGTTGGAGTCTATTTCTCAAGACGTGGTAAGATTGAGAGTCACTGAAAATAACCTACTGGGCAGAACTGCGGGTAGGAGTTTCTGTACATGTCCTGGGACCTCAGGGAGAGCTGAGTCTCTGGTGTTTTGGAGGGTGAGAGAGCCAGAAGCTTCAGGTCCCCACAGGGGAATCAGCTGGTAAAGTAGTGGCTGAGAAACCTAACCTGAGATGAAGAGGCCTCCTTATTCTTTTTGGGGTCACAAACTTTTTTGATAATTTGGTTACAGTTCCTCTGAAAAATACATATGGAGGACACCCCCAGGCCCTATGCTGCCTGATCTGTGTTAAGACCCTTGCTCTAAAGGTTCCCTCCCAGCCCTCAGCAGGCAAAAGGAACCAGGGAGAAGAGGAGGATGCTAGCAGTGATTTTGTTGGCCCTCAGGTTGACCAGAAGAGAGGAAGAGAAGGAAGCTGAGAGCCAAGCCATGGTAGGCAGTCCCCAATCTCCAACACTCCTCCCCATTCTTCATCCACTTCAGGCCCACAGACTGAGTCGTTTCAATTTCTACTAAGCCCCCATCTCACACCCCCACTCCTCAGGAGCAGAAAGAAAAATCATTTGACCAGGAGATAACAAGGCCCTCACTGTAGCTAATGAGAACAATGGTGAGCTGGAGGGAGGCCTGGAGGCCAGTGGGCGGCCAGAATGTTCCCAGGGGACCCCAGCCCCGCCACACAGGACTACAGCCGCCACACCACAGGCCTTACAGACTTGGCTACACCCCCAGACTGCATAATGCACACACACATGCGCCCACACTTGAGGGAAGGGGCTGGTCCTCCCCAACCAGCCTCAGAACTCCCTGGGGGCACAGCACCCTGCAGCTCCCCTGCCTGCAGCCACACAAGCTGGCTCCTCTGCTCCTCCGAGCAGCAGTGCCAGGTGGGGGTTGTAATTCCGATTATTCTCAGGCAAAGGAAGGGAAAGAAACTTGATGAGGAGAGGTGGGGAGCCCTTGGTCCTCAGTTGAGGAATGCAGGAGTCAACGTAGTCTGCCTGACTGTGGGCCAGGCACTGTTGGAGCCCTTGGGGCTCTTCAGGGTCCAAACTAGCCAAGATAACTGACCCCAAGGATGCTCAGCTCCCAGCAGCCTGGCCCCAAAGCCCACCTCCTCCCACCACATCGTATTCCCTTCCACAGAGACGGGGGCTCCACCTTGGCTTCCTCATAGCTCACGTGGTGATAATCTTTACCCATCTTCCAGGGCGGGAATGAGGATTCAGGATCACATCATAAAGGGCCTGGCTCCATGCCTGGCACAGTAGGCGGTGGTGGTAAAGAATCTGGTTAGGATTGGTGTTCTGCTTTTATTTGTTGTCATTGTTAATGTCATCATCATCATCATCCATGGAGCAACAATTTGGGGGTGGGAAGGGCTGAGGCCTGCAGTGAAGAGGCCTCCCAGAGAGACATGGGGATAGTTGTAAAAGTGGGTTGGGCCTGGGCCCTGGAAGAATATTTGGGACTTTGATCTTAAAGTGCCTGCTGCTTCTAGTACAGGTTGAAAGACAGGTTCCAAGGAGTAGGATTGCTGTGCTAGGCCCAGCACAGGCATGGACACCTGTATAAAATGGAGTCTTTGCCCTCAGGGAGCTTGGATACTTCCAGAATCAGATGGAAAATGGAAATGACAATATTGAATAGCTCACATAGTTATTGAACACTCAGTGTGTACCAGGAGCCATCACCTATTGCCCCCCACCTTTTACCTGCATTGACCCATTCAGTTTCCATGTTAACCCTGTGAGGTAGGGACTGGAAGTTGGGGAAAATGAGTCATGAAGAGGTGTGATGACATGCCAAGGACACACAGCTGGAAGCTGACAGAGCCAGGAACCCAGCCTAACAGCGTGTCTCAGAGAAGCTCATGCACTTAATACCGGAGTTCCAGCACCTTCTATGTTGTCACTTATATCCAGTGGGCTGGCCTGAGGGTCTATCCCAATCTACAACCCAGTGCTTCAGGTTCACCTGTTTTGTCTGCCCAGACTGATCCCCCCATCCCTCCGGAAGATCCTCATTCTGGAGACATCCCAGAACGCCCTCCTGAGAGGTAACAGGACCCACAGGGACTGAGAGGGAACTTGGGGGCAAGCCCAGGGGTGATTCCCATCCCCTCTTTACCTCCAGCGGCCCCGCCCAGCCGGAACTCCAGCAAGCCCTCGTGCCTGTGATTAAAGAGCTGGTCCCAGTCAAGAGGAGGCCCTGGGGTCAGCTCTGCTGGCCCCCACAGCGGTTCAGGTGTGCCCCCAGGCATCTCCAGAAGAAGGGAAGTAGTTTGACACGGGGAAGACCAGGGGCTCCCCTGGGCCCCACCTAAGCACTCTGCCCCCTCCCCACCAGGGTCACTCGGCATCCACTGACCCCAGCCTGGGTCCTGGGCCTGCTGCTGCTGTTGCTGCTGCTCTCTCTCCTGCTGCTGGGCCAGTCCCCACCCCCCACATGGCCCCACCTCCAGCTCTGCTACCTCCAGCCCCCCCCAGTGTGAGGAGTGCTCCCTTTCCCCCTCTGAGCAATGTCTAGCTCAATAAATCCCCCAGGGTTCTTTGTACTGTGATCCCCATCATTATGCTGCTGTTGCTTAGGCTTATCCCAGTACACAGAGATCCACATCCTTGTATTGGGCTTTTATGTGAAGTCTCTTGGTTTTTTAACGTGGGTAACTACTTTTCTCATTAACAGAACACACCTAATAATGGGTTTAGCACTAAGGATTATTTTCCTCATAAGTCTGGAGAAGGACAGCTGTGGACCTACAGCGTGGGGTCTCCATGGGCTCGGGGTCAGGGTCTCTGATTCTCTTGGCCCTTTCCTCATGCTCAGGAGGCAGCAGTTGTAGCTTCCTACATCACATCTGCTGGGAAGAGTAAACATGTCCCTTCCTTTTTACAAAGAGAAGCAATGACCTTCCTAAAGCCACCAGCAGACATGTGTTTATGTCTCATTGGCTAAACTATTTGACATGACCGTCCTTAGCTGCAAGAGATACTGGGAGACCTGGAAGGTCAAGCCTCCTGAGGCTGGGCACATTGCTGCCCAAACAGAATCTGTTTGTTAGTAAGGGTGTGTTTTGGAAAGGCAGATAAAGTGCCTTATCATACAACTTATTCACATTTTTGGAAAACACTGCTGGGTGTGGACCCAATGAAACACTTTTGGGAGCTACCTACAGACCAACAGTTTGCAGCCTCCAAGCTTCCTGCCTCAGCAGGCATTGCCCCACTGTTTTGAAAGTTCTCCTGGACACCTCTTCTCCCTCTCCTCCTTCCTACCTTGTCTGCACCGCTCCCCTGCCTCTCTCCCCAGGGTCCTAACTATCCTGCCACCACCCCATGGGTAGAAGCCTGGGTTGACCCAACCCTAACTGCATCCTAGGCCAATGACTGGTGAGTTTCCATCTCCCACAAAACACAAGATCAAAACCCCTTACTCTTGTTAGTGTCAACCATCTTCATGGCTTAGCTTTGATGCATTATTATGCTGTAAGCCCCTTCCCAACTTGAGTAAGGCTGAGGAGATGACGAGAGTAGATGGAAGCTGAGAACCCCTACTCCCCAAAAAATGTATTATCGGACATCTACTAAGTGTTCAGCATGTTGGCCATGGTACTGGAATTGTATAGGGAATGGCCTGAACTTTCACTACCACGTAGATTATCTAGGAAGATCTGGTATACCAAGGCTCTGCCAATCCATGTAATTAACAAGAGCAGACACCTAGCAGGACTTGCCCCAGGCTGGGCAGGAAGGTGCTGTACTAGGCATTTTGAGATATTTATTTATTCTTCACCTTAACCCTAAGAGGTAGGTACTAATGATGCTTTATAGATGAAGAGACTGAGACATAGAGAAGTTAAATAACTTGACCTAGATGTCACAGTTAAAAGTTTTGAGAGTCGCCAGGCTCAGTGGCTCAGCCTGTAATCCTGTGCCTTGAGTGAATTGCCTGAGCCCGCAGGTTCAAGACCTGCCTGGGCAACTTGGTGAGACCTCATCTCTACAATCAATCCAAAAAATTAGCCGGGTGTGGTAGCACGCACCTGTAGTTCCAGCTACTTGGAAGGCTGAGGCGGAAGGATCGCCGGAGCCCAGC